GAGCATCCGTATTTCCACTGAACATGCGCTAGTCGAACAAAGGCTCCCTTCAGCACAAGAACAGACAGCCGGTGCTAAAGATCAAGGTTTTCACCCCCACAAACTATTAACAAGACCATTATCTGAAAGGGCCTCTCTCTCTCCACATGCCTGCATCCTGAGCCACTCAGAAAGAACGAACTGTGGAGGGAAAAGGAACAGCAATTATTTCTTCTGTGCTTCCTTTCTTCTGGGTTCTGGGGAGATGAATGCAAAATTCCATCGCACACTGAAATGCTATTCAAAACTTTCTCTCGCTCTGTAACATGACCTGCTCAACAGCAGTACCCTTTGCCCTACTAATATCTGGGGTCTGGAATTACTGACATTCCTGCGTGCTTTGTACTTCTAGGCCTGCCCTTCCCAATATTGACACTCTGACATAGCTTAGTTCCAGCAATTCATGTATAAAACGTGCATACCCCTATACATTGCAAAGACAAAGAAGAAAATGTGCATTCTTTAAAATACACATGGCTCTTTGAGAACGAGAATAATGTTTTCAGCAAGTCCTTGGTGTCCATATTTCAAAATCTTTGCAAGTATTACAGGGGTAGTTACATTTCTAGACAAGCACCTTTAAGACTCTGGTGGCACTCAGTAACATAAAGCACTCTTGCCTTGAACAGCAGGAAGCACAGAAACATTCATGACTAAAAACTGCACCCAACCACTTCAAAAGGTGCTCCGCTGAGACATGCTACACATGTAAATATTTTGTGGGTTTATTCTGAGGGAATTTTAATTAATCCTTTAACAGGAAAATTCACTGGGAGGTTCACAAACATATTTACCCCTCCAGTACTGTTTCAGTGCCAAGGCTTGGCCTGTTTGAGCACACTTGTCCACGGCAGGCCCTGTGGGGCTGGAGCTGCTCCAGCCCCCACTGGTTAACCAGAACAGGAAAGTATCACCCATTAAGGCTGATGCTTACCAGTTAGCCTTACACATCCCTAGTTTCAACCCTTTTCTCCAACTGCTGCAGCGGCTTCTCTTCTGCATCAGTAACTCCCCTTCTACATATACTTGTGACCTCATTTCTCAGAGGAGGGCAAACTACGACCCATGGGCCACAAAGAGACCATTGGACCCTTCGGTCTGAAACAAACACAAACACAAACACACCCCAAATAGGGGGTTGGGATAGCCTTGCCAGGCAGCATGGTGAGCAGGGGCAGCTAGCCCCTACCCCTCCACTTCTACTCTCTGCAGCTTCAGCTCCCTCAGTGGCGGGTTGGCACTTGCCCTCCGTACAATTTCCTTACCTGATGTGACCCTCAGGCCAAAAAGTGTGCCTGCGCCTGGCGTTTTTCCTGACCAGTCTCCTGGTTTGCCCACTTTACTCCTGACCCAGGATGTCTGTCACACCTTCCCTTCCGCTTGGAACAGTCTGCACCACAATATGTGCCAAGTGTGCCCCTCACTCAGTAAAATTTAGGGCTCAGGGAACCATGCTAATGTTAAACAGCCCTCCTGAAGTAAATAAACAACCCCATTTTCCAGACATTAATACTGAGACTAAACAAGGCTCAGTAATTTACTTAGAAAACAGCAAGAATCAGTGTCAGAAACAGGATGAGAACTCATGCTACCAGCTCAGTCCACTCTCCACAAGACCTGCTTGTGTAGGTTCTTTTATTTGTGACTATAAAGGACAAGATCAGACTGTTGGGAGTGGGCAAACGGAACACATCGTAATGGCGGTCTGTGTGGTCTTTCCATGCACAACCACCCATCTTTCATCACTTGGCACATGGGCTCGAGAGCTCCGATTTGCCTACCACTCGGCCTTTCATCATGGCAGATTTTTGCAAGCAGGTGCACTTCAGACGGAAGCTTTCCACAGAGTCTATCGCTGCGCCCTCCACAAGGAAAGGAGCAAACCCAGACAAAACCCTACTGCAGGAAAACCAGAAAAATACAACCCAAGGGTCTTACTAGTGGGGAAAAAGGCAATCCCAGCTACAGGTACTAGCTTTTACACCTCGCCTCCTCCTCTTAGCACTAAATGCGACACTCACGGAAGGTGCTGAATGGATAAAGAAGCTCCACGTTCACCCACAGAGCAGCTACAGAACATGTAGCAACAGTGCTCACGGCCTCAACACTGAATCATGATTTTGGGAACAAGGATAGTTAAGCCTTCATGGCCACTCTGTCCTTGGCCTTTCTGTCCAGTCCCAGGTATGGGGTTCAGACACTTGTCAAATACATAATAAACTAAAACCTGCCAGTTGATTTCAGGGGGGCCACACAGACAGTAATGGCCTAGGCCATTCCAACCAGGGACCTGGTTAAAAAGCACCATATCCCAGTACCAATCCTCGGCGCTATCCACTCCAGCTTGACAGGTCTACTTTTACCTGCTTTACGCCTCTACCTCTGGAATCAACTTCAGAGACCAACTCAACTGCAGTCATCACATTTCTGTTTTGATTTAGTTAATTCAATTTCTCTCTCGTTTCCTTCAGTAGGCCAATCAGAAGAGGGCTAAGAAGAGCTGTCCCTGCAAGTGGCTCTTCAGTATGATCAACAGTATTCATTCTCCCTGGTACATACAGTGTTTCTTATGTGTGTACGAGACATTAGTAGCATCTCTACAATGGGACACTGCGTGCCAATGGCTCTGAGTGACCACAAATAATTATTTCCCAGGTATCTGCCTAGTGGGTCTTGCCCATATGCTCAGGGTCTACGTGATCACCATATTTGGACTCAGGAAATAAATGTTCGGTCACCTCAAATTGGCAGAGACCCCGGTAGCAGGGGGGGAGGGTGTTTCCATCTTCCTTTGCAGCATGGGACATGGGTCGCTTGCAGGTTTCAACTAGTGCAAACTGAGGACTCTCTACAACTTGAAGCCTTTAAACCCTGGTTTGAGGAATTCAGTAACTCAGCCAGCAGCGAGGGGTCTATTACAGAAGTGGGTGGATGAGGTTCTATGGCCTGCAATGTGAACTTCTGCATGCCATAGCTGTTTTTCTATTTCGTGGTGGGAGAAGCAAGCCTTGAGAGTTTGTGAGATATAAGACATGTACCTGTCGACCATCTTGACCCACATTTGTCTGTCCTCTCACTACTGTTCGAATATTGTCATCCAGCCTCCTGGGGGGAAAGCAGACAATGTCAACATAAACCTGCTACATTCACAGCAGAGTTCATTTGTAAAAACACAAGCACAGAGGGGAAAAACCCTGTACTTAAGCTGTATTTTTTAATGGCGCTGACAACATAAAACAGACATTTTTATAAATACCTGATATTCTCCTGATTATTAGAAACACTGAATATTGGCAAAATAAGAGAACTCAGTTCACTTTTTGCCTTCCACCCCATCTAGACAATGTTATCAGACTGGGCAGTTTCCTTTTCTAGTCCTCCTGCACTAGAACAATGTTTCTCACCCCTTTCTCCAGAGTAAAAATAAATATCACAAACCCCTTACATTTTACACTCTTAGATTTATATCAAATGCACAAATGACAACAATAAAGCCGACACATTACAACTGTTACAATAGCTACGACATTTGACCTCACCATCGTTGGAGGTTTTGGCCACCAAAGTTATCCTGTCAGTTTTATTTTTCGTTGCTTTAGAATTGAAACAATTTTTAGTGCCTCACAATTCCCCCAATTGTCTTGTGTGAGGTTGAGAAACATTGCATGAGAGCGATGTAATTTGAATGGCACACACTACAGGAAAGAGTTGGATGAAAAATCTTTTTAAATGATAAAGTGTACTAGAAATATTTTCTTTTTTGAAAACCTCCCCAACTCTTCCTTCAGATAGTTTTTATGCTTAAAACGTAGGCATAAAAACTGTCTGGTTTCAAAAGAGTTGGAGAAACAGCAGCATTGATATTTAATGGAAATGTACTAAGTCCCATGACCATACAGCCATTTCCCACCCATGTGACAATGACATGAAACAGAGCATGACTTACCATATTTTCAGTCTGATTTTGTTTACAACTTCATCAATATTTGCCAAAGACTGCAAGATAAATAACAATTTTTCAAGAGAAAAATATTTTCTTGTTACCTACATGCATATCAGACTTAAACTGACCTTTGAATAATACTTTACATTTTCTTTCATAGCATTTTACAAAGGTGGTCCAGTAGCATAATCCCTATGTTATAGACAGGGAAACTAAGGCACTGAGCAGTTTGCTGACTTGGTCACATCGAGCTCACTGGTACAGCTTGGAACAGAAACCAGATCCACAGACAATAACTCTTCAACTTGCCCTGAACATATATAAACACGCTGGGTACAGCTACGATTTCTCTTTGCAATTTTAGGAATCTTCTCTCAGAGGAAACAGTTAAAGGGAATGGGAATGGTGACCTCTAGTGGATAACTCAGTCAAAGAGCAAACAGGAACAAAGTACTTTACAGTACTTTGAACATCCACTGGCCCCAGAGAAATGCAATGCACCCTGAATGCATGAAATCCAAGGACATCAGGATATCCCGCAATGAAGGATGCCTGACTAGTATTTCTCCTTTACCTGGGTGTGAGCAAACCCAGCAGAGAAAGTTGAACAGAAACACCTGAAAGGAAAAATCCTGCCATCTTCTCTGCTGCTATAGTGAACCCAAATGCAGCAGAATCTAGGAAGTTTTTCGGAGTTCATCTAGATAATGGTGTGGTGCCCAGAGAAATTGAGGCACACACACAGGGTTACCACACGACAGCAGAAATCATATGCAACGTAACAAAGCAAACAGAGTGAATTCAATCCCCACTTTATCACAACCTCCCATCTTTAAGCCAAGCCTAAGCTGTGTGTTGGAACTAGGGAAGGATCTGACTAAGGATGTTACATTTAATATAATATATATGGAGATATACCTCTCTCATAGAACTGGAAGGGACCTAAAGAGGTCATCGAGTCCACTCCCCTGCCCTCACGGCAGGACTAAATGCCATCCCTGATAGATTTGCCCCAGATCCCTAAATGGCCCCCTCAAGGATTGAGCTCACAACCCTGGGTTTGGCAGGCCAATGCTCAAACCACTGAGCTATACCTCCCCCAGCTAATCAAAGTCAATGTAATTTGCATCTACTATTAGATTAGGTGATAAGGGTGCCTCCGTCCTACCGGCTCTTGCTACATTTCAAAGGCAGAAGCGCTGCATGGGGCAGCGAGGGGCTCAAACAGTCCCCTGCTGGTCCAGCGGCACGTTGCTTTTGAAACGTGCAAGAGCCATGCTCTTGCTATATCTCAATGGCAGAAGTGCTGCCAGTTCCCCACTGCGCCCCTGTCCCTTCTCCCCACGGAGATGGGGCTGGGGGGAACCTGCTTTTAAGCTGGCTCCCCCCAGCACTGAATCCTGCTCCCCCCCCCTTGCTGCCTCTCTCTAATAGAGGCAGCAAGCGGGGAAGCGACTAGTTGAGTCACTAGTCAACTATCAGATAAGCATTCACTTATCAGATAGTCAACTAGTCGCTTACATCCCTAGATTTGACTCCACTAAATCTCCATTCCTCATCCCAGAAAGGAAAAAAATGGTTTTAAAATCTAGTCTGATTGTGACAGTACTTGTTGACACTTCACATTCAAAACATCCTTGGTTTACCTAGTATTCTTGGGGCCACCCAGTATTTTGATCCAGAAGAATCTGAAATTCAACTGAAAAAACAAACAAACCAACCCTTGCATAGTGAAACTGTTTCTAGAGACCCAAATGGAACTTTTGTTTTATTTGAAACTGAAGCTAGCACACTGGGATACGTGGAGACTGTGACTATTTCACTAGGTTTGAATTTAGAAAGTAATAACCCCTGAAATGTTGGTGTTCTTTTGAAAGAAGCACTGAGTATAATTTTTAAACCTGTCTTTCTATTGATGTGCAGGGGTATTTAAACACTGAGGGTGTGTCTAGACTACATCCCTTTTCTCGAAAAAGGGATGTAAATTAGACACTTTGAAATTGCAAATGAAGCCGGGATTTAAATTTCCCGTGCTTCATTTGCATAATGGCGGCTACAGTTTTTTTTTGACACGGGGCTTTTCGACAGAAAAATGGCAGTTTAGACGGGGATCTTTTGAAAATAAAATAAAAATGAGGTTTACAGGATCTTTCAAAAAAGAGTTTTATTTTCAAAAGATCCCCATCTAAACTGCTGTTTTTATATCAAAAAGCCCCGTGTCAAGAAAACCTGCGGCCGCCATTATGCAAATGAAGCAAGGGAAATTTAAATCCCGGCTTCGTTTGCAATTTCGAAGTGTCTAATTTACATCCCTTTTTTGAGAAAAGGGATGCAGTCTAGACACACCCTGAGTTACTATTAAGGTTACTGCATAGGACAGCGAAACCCCAAGCATCTGGCTTACTTGCTCAGTTGGAAAGAGAGTATTAATATACTCCACAGCATTGAAGTCTGCCCGGTCCAGTGGATCTTGGCTGGGAAACACCTAGAGAGGGGGAAAAGAAACACAAAATATCAGCGTGATCACCTGTAACTGTAAACAGCATCTGTCATTTTAATAACTAACACACACATATGGGGTTATTTTTAACCACATGGTCCTGACAGATCTGCATGGAGAGCAGTAAAGCCATAATTCAGGGAGAATAAATAGTTCTACTGACTACATTCCTGGGCTATTAAAATTCCTGCAGTTATCAGACTGGGTAAACACAGATTTAATATACATGCACATCTCGAGATGCAATACCAACAGAATCAATCATGTGCTATAAATTCCCAAGGGAGACAAACTATTAATAATGTATCTAAACCCAAGTTGATGCTTTCGTCATTGCCTTGAAATTAAAAGCTCATGCTGAGATCATGTCCATCTCTTTGGCAGGGCTCTGTGGTGAGAGATAGAATCTTTTTCTTTCACAAACTTGTAATAGGAAATATGATGAATTAATAAAATGGTCAAACCTGGAGAACTGGGTTTCACCATGTAAACATGGGGGAGGGAGAGAGAGAAAGGGTCAATCTGTTAAATTATCCTCATTATCCCAGAGGAGAAAACAGCAGCTGCAGAGCAACTCTTTCTAATCTGTCTTCTGGGGGAGCTCAAATGATCCAAGGAAGGCTGTTAAATTATTTTGTCCTCCATCACATGCAAATATGAGGTGCTACTTTCTCAGTTACCATATTTGTTCTGTGCCATGCAGCCAGCAATGTCCCCCTCCCCAATGCAAGCCATATCCTGGACAAACAGTAAATCACATGAACCATTGTGCGGTTTCACTCGTGTGTCATTCTAGTCAATCCAAGTCAGCAATAGCCAGCTGCAATAGGCAAGAAAAAATCCTACGCAAAACATGCAATTCAAACCTTTTGCTCCCAGAGCACCTACATTTACTATGCTTTCTATAAAAAGGCAAATGTAGTGTATCTGAAAGGACTGTAATTTAGAGGGCCTCACTCCTAGTAACTTAATGTGTCCACCTTTCAGGAGAGGAACTCTAGGTACAGGGAGATTCAATTATTTTCTCTAGTGCCACGTAACAAATTAGCAACAAAATCAAGAACAGAAGCCAGGTGGCTTGACTCCCTGGTCTTCTATTGGACAATACTTACAGATAATACAAAAGGTCCACTGTGATAGCCATTAGTCTTGTCAAGAAAATAAACAACCCAGTTTGGCTCAGGCTCCTACTCGAGCTGGCAACTGCAGTTTGACTATTAATTGTGCTCATCTGGCTACTGTCTGCCATTTGTAGAGGGCAAGGAGCAACAGTATCCACAGTCCCGATGAAAGATGAAGACTGACAATGCCTGTCAGGAGGGTCATGGATTCTGGGAGTTTTAAACACGTCCAGCACCATTCAGGATGTGAGGACCAGATTGTGGTGGGGCAGGTAGCCGAACAAACACACAGCTACATGTACTTGACTGAAGAGAAAAGCTAACAGTTGTAAATTATTGAGTGTGGCGTTTACCATCGTTACAGGGACACAAATGAACAGACCAGTGGAATCTAAATGAGTGCTCCTAAGCACTACACTAGGGATGTTAAATTTCCATTAATTAGCCAATCGAGTAGTCCAGTGGTCCCCAATCTTTTGAGGTTGTCGGGCGCCAGGGGGCGTGGCCGTTTGCCCGCCGGGCGCCAGGGACACTTGCGCGCCCGGAGGCGGGCCCCCGCCC